CTGCTAAACAGGATCATGTTCTTAAATATATTACTGTGGAAATACTCATACAGGGTTTCATTTTGTTATTCTGTTTATAGCTGCCTGGACCTGTTCTCTGGAAGGTTGGCATCTCCTGAATAATTTCTCATTTGTAAAACTACCTCATCCTTATCTATGCCTGTAAACTTTTTACCTTGCCTGGCTCCCTTTTTCCCCCCGGCCCGTTTCCTTCTCTCCCCTTGCGCCCCCTATTCTCATTCTTCTCCCACCCTCTTCACATTCCCTTTCAAACCTTTATAAGAATAGAAACCCTATATTCATCTGCCTCTACCCTAGCCTCCCATTTTGGAGTCTTCCTTCCTTCAGCTGTTCTCATCTTAAAATAAGGAAGAGAAAACTGGTAAGAAACAACACAATAGAAGAAGGCAAGTAGACCCATTGATTACTACAGTCTCTAAACCCAGTTAGTTTAGTTTTACTTTGTTTAGTTCCCACTAAGAGGATTTTTTGCTATTGAGGAGGAACAGGGCTGCCTTGTAGTTTTCCATTAAACATGTTGATTGATACACATAACATACCTAGACACAAAACCTATTGTATCCTTTGATTCAGATGCATAAAATTATTATAGGATGCTGTGGCATTAGTAAAGATTACATACTGTTCCTGACTCCTGCCCCTCTTCTTGGGAAGAGGAATATCTAACGCAGAAGCAGTATCACCAAAATGACCACCCCAAACTGAACTACACCACCACTGCAACATTGTGCTTTATCAAACTAAGCCTGATGTCAAACTTAGAAAGAAAACAACACACAAACATACACAAAGAAACCACACACCTGAATTCTGGGTTATTTTTTCTGCAGTCAAGATAAAAGCAGTTACAAGTTTTAGGTGTATGAATTTAGCAGGCCAAGACAAACAGGTTCTGTAAATATTTTCTCTATAAACGACTTATTAGTCCCATTTATTAATGTCAGCATCTTATTTTCAGTTACTAAACAACTGCTTCCTTCCACCAGCATAAGCCTTTTTATAGTTGCTGAAGTGATGCTGGTCAGCTACAGTGGGGAGAAGGAAAGAGCTTGCACAGTAAGAAACAGCTCATAATAAAGCCTGTCCTTAGGAACAGGCCACCAGCTTCTTTTTAAAGCCAGTTCTATTGAAATTGCAGTGGGAAGGAAAGTCTAAGAGCCAAATGAGGTTGGGACAATACCTGTGGTTAAAAAAATTTAAAAACTGATAAACACCACCACCTCTCCCAGTAATTTATGACCTACTCCTTCCTGCATTCGATTTTAAACTACAATCAGATAAAATATTTTTAAAGTATTGATACTAAATTAGATAATAATGAAATTCCAGTTCAATATACTGAATGAATTTGCAGCTTATCTAAGTTTTAGAAAATTTTAACATTTTTTAAAACTTAAAAATAATTACGCTTGGATGGTTTTTAAATATTCATCAGATTACAGTTATTACAGAAAGGTTTAATAAGGTCATTAATATTTTTAGTATTAATTCGTGTCATTCAATCCTGTATTGAAATACAGTATAAAGTAGGTAATACATTTTTTCCTGACTGTGCTTGACAATACCTCTAAAGTTATTTTTGGCTTGTCAATTTAAAACAGACAACTGGCTATGCCACCTTCTCCTTCCATTTACTTCTATAATAGTACCCTGAACTGCTCCTGCTTTTATTAAAGAAAGAGCACAAGGATCTTCTACAGTTGTCTGCGGAAGACCAAAAGCATCAGCAACAGCATAGGTAGGCATTTCACAGGAATCCTGGGAGTTAGATGCATTCAAGAAAGACAGCACAGAAGAAATACCACGCTCACACACTTCCAAGATTCCTCTGTCAAAGTCACCATATAAAGAATCTAGCAAAACAAATTTTAAAAAAAGAGACCAGAAAGTGAATCAGTTTACTTGCTAATTATCTCCCCACTGACCATGAAAAAGCTCCTCCTGCCGACTGCACTGCTACCCAAAACAAATGTTGCACATTAAATGGAAGTGCAGACCAAGCTAACACTTTCAGAACTTTTCCAGAATTCACATTAAGCTGTCACATTTGCTGTCTTACAAATAAGGGTAGTGCTTTAGTTTAGTTAGCGAGAAAAAGGCTTCCAAAGTAAGGATGGCAAGGGGAGAGTGGGGAAAGTACACACTAAGAATCATGCTTTTTATTTATTTTCAGTACAATCATTGCAATGTTCCTGGGTCCCTTCCTATTGAATGTGCTGCAAGATTTACCCTTCCAAATACCAGCCATCCAAACACCACACACCACACAATGCCTCTGTTGTTCAGATTCATTAGAGGGAGTCTGCAGTATTAACATACTGCCCCATGTCTGTAAAGGGGATTCCAGAATAAAAATTATTAAAGCTATCAGAAGGGAAATAATATTTCCTCCTAACTTGCAGTAAAAGTAGATTTTTAGTCCAAGGTAGCAAATCATTTCCATGTGTTAATAAAAGCTTCTCATTTGAAGCAAGGAAAACATTGCTCTATGTGACAGTGCACCTAAAAATCTATCACTGATAGAAGCAGTAATGAGAACAAGCACAGAGAGCTTCAGCAGACAAAACTCAACAATTGCATATGGAGCCCACAGGTTAAAAGGAGAGCAAGCAGGTATTACCATGCAGGGATCATACCTCATATCATGCTACCAAAAATAAAAATACAGACATTCATGTATTATTCTGCAAACACACACAGTTCCAATGTTAGACACTCATGTAATTACACTAATGCAATTTACAACAGAACAAAAGTGAGTTTTCATTGTTCAGAAAGATAAAGAAAAGCAAAAAATATGGGTTTAGCTTTGTTTCAATAACATTAGTAACAGAGACACTAGACTATTTGTTGCAACTTGTTTAGTTTTCTAATATTAACAGCACTTATCCATACTAAATTATTACAGTCTTACCTGTATCGCACATGAAAGGAGCGATCTTCAGGCATCCCTATCAAAACATTACTTTCCTCCATTGGGTTGCATTATCAGTAGAGAAAACAACACTGTTCTGTAGCAGGGTAAGTAAGTACTTCCCTGTGAAGAACTGTTGTCAGAACACCATTCCAGTTAGTATATTAATAAAGTTGGAGCACAAATATTCTAAGCTTCAATTGAAAAACTCTTCTTTTTTACTAAGGTAAGGAGGCCACCATCAGACACATCTTAAACCTTCAGAAACATGTTCAAGTTCTTTCATCTCTGGCCCTTTAAGCTCCGTTCAGCTGCGTTTCTGCAAAGGGAACACAAGATGCTTGGCTTGAAGTCTCATAGTCAGTTAATAACTCATAACCATCTGCAGCTGATGTAAAAGCATAACACTACTCCTACCAAGCAGGAAGCATCAATCAAGAACTGAAAGTCAGAGCCAAAGCCTTCCACATATATACAGCACAAGCGAGAAAGCAAAGAAAGCTTAAAAAAAACAGCACTCTCTTTTCTGTTGGAAACTTTGAGTAATTTACCCTTGTTAGTATTCTTTAGCCTCATGAAGTCACAAAGTCTACAGAATTAAAGGTATAATATTAAACAGATCACAAACTGCTTTACATGTAAACAGTACTGCTGAAACCCTGACAAGTTTGCTGAAGTCCAACACTAGTCAGAACTGGCTGACACAAAAACATTTGGAGATCACCCATTCTGGACATCAGCCCACTCAGAACATTATGAGCACAGCAGAGGTTTAAGCTCTATTCCCCTTTCGCCTCCCTGCTCTCAAAAGAAAATAGGAGGTATGTGGGCTAGGAGTTTTGGGTTTGTTTAGGTTTTTTTACACTGGCTTAATATTCAAAAAGGCTGCAGAATTGTAATAGGAGCTCCAAACTCTGTTTCAAAGCGAATGCAGCTGCTGGCATTTAGGCCTTAGACATGTTTAGGCTGGCAGGGAAAAGAGTAACAGGAAAGCAACTGTTATCAAAAGTTTACCCACTTTTAAGTATATTTTTAGTAGAGGAGTTGACATATTTATTGCTCAGAACTAACATTACCTTTCTTTGCAAGTAAACATACAGTCATGTAATTCACAAATGTATATTTCATTAAGAGACTGCAGAGATGTCAGAAGATCAGTGCAAGGCTCAGATTTAAAGCTGTCACCAGAAGAAAATGCAACCCTCTATTTTCAACTGTCCATGAAGGCAATGCCTTTTCCTCTCATTAGTTTTATCAGGTACCAGCTTTGAAGACTCTTGTTTCCTAACATACTCTACCTTCACAGCATCCCTCCAACAAACCATCCACATTCTTCCAGGCAAACAACTATTTTGCCCTTCCATGCTTATCATTAGAATTATCTGGCATCAACAGGTAGGTGTGGGTGTATTTTTGCAATTATAAAGTGTGACACATACAGTTTACAATACCATTGCAACCCACATGCTGGGAAGACTGTGTTACAAGCACTTAATGTCCGGAAGTTTGTCCAAGCCTCAAATGGGATACCTCATACAAGCAGACAGCTGAAAGACACCCAGTCTACAACAATGGCCCCTGAGCATTCCTGGTGCACAGCAAATGCAAGGGAATTCAAGGTTCTCTTCCACAGATGGATATACTCGTGCATATTATTATATGCCACAAACTAAAAAAGTGTATACTCTGGGAATTGGCACAGATCATTAAATAATCACTGTGGTAATTTGCTTGTATACTTATACTGTAATTGTAACTAACTGAACAATGTGTTTTAAGAAGCTTTTTCAAAAATAAAAAGCCAAATTAAAGAAAAAAGTTATATTTATAAGTACATCAGAATGACTGTGTTTATTTAAATATAAGTTAATTTTAGCAGTACATTTCACATCAGCTGTTTATAACTCCATTTTATCCGAGCTACACTTTTGTCCTCACACTTAACCTCATCCTTTGACCCATGTCCCTCCCATGACCATCTCCCTCCAGCTGGAACCATTACACCAGCTTGAACCATTCATTACAGCCTCCTTCCCTCCTTACAGGCCATACTGCACATTCCGTGTCTTGGGAGGGTGACAGACACACCCGAGTTGGCTAACTCATCATGATCACAGATCCAACAAAAATTACTGGGTCTGGTCTTCACACCTCACTTCCTTCACCTGAAACTCATTAGGATGTCAAGTTATGCCTTCAGCCATGCCCACATATAACCAGTAAACAAACTTAAAGCATATTAATTAGAGTGGTGAATTCAAAATTCAGGAGGTGGCAATTGATGAACCCTTCTACAGACAGTGTCTTTCAGGCATAAGCTGGCCTTGGAAGGATTACAGTAGATCAGACTAAGCCTTGCTCTTTCAGTTGATGCACCTTAACTATTCAGAACATCTCTGTGTAACCAAACCTTTCTCAAACTGGTGATCAATATGGAACAGAGTCAGAGCACTGCTGCAGAAAAGCCTAGTGAACAGAAATCAGGAGGTCTGCTTTATTGGCATATCTAACATGGGCTTTCTCCTCAACTTGCATTTTTTATTAAAACTTCACGTAACATGAAAAAAAAGCACTTGATTCATACTAGGAGAAAAAATCTGTATTAATGCAAAGTAGACTCTCCACATTTGTTCTTTCCACATTTCTAAACAATATAAAGTCTGTATCCATGTTAAAGAGCTGTCTTTTAGGAAAGTAAAAACTGAAAACTGAAGTTGCACACACAGCTTTAAAAAGCACAATTTAACTACTCCAGCTATCAAATGCAGGAAGTACTAGCTTCATTGTAATTTCAAGAAAGCAAAAAAAAGCACACAGAAGAAAGACTGAGGCTCCTTCCAAAGAAGAAAATTAAATTGGTGTTACTAATTACACAGCAGTATGAAACCAATATCACCACCCCTGAAATCAAATAAAGCAAGGCAGAGGTTAGGCAATCAAATGTGGCAGTCAGTTTATACCCCACAATAGACAACTTATGCTCTTTACAAACTCTTTATTAGGAGAAAATGGTGAGACAGGGCTCATCCGCCCTGTCTATAGACAGCTAAAGGATCTTCAATTAAACTATCTGCAAAAACCTAACTTGGCCTCAATTAAGTGTTTGACAGAGGTAAGTCCATTTTTAGATAAAGTCACTTAGCATTCTATTCTATTAAAATAAATTTCTCTAGAAGCTGTATAGATATAGAAGCTTAGGGTTTGCATGGCATAGCATTCTAAGACTGAATTCCTTACTAAATTCTAAACTACTTTTAACTTGATTCTCTGAAATTGTATAAAAGTCCACTTATTTCTACAAATTTTTAGAATGAAATGAAAAAAAAAAAGTTAAAATAGTGATGTTAAATACTGAATGGAATTCCATATAACAATGCTTTAAAAAGTGAAACTCTACCTCACTTGCACTTACTCAGTATTTTTCATAAAACTATTGTGTTCTCAGAAAGGTCTAATGGTTGACATTCAAAGAAAGTACAACTTGATCTTCCATTAACATCAGTGGACTGAATCGGCATATATATATGCTAAGACCTGAATAAAGCTCACTCTGAAGAAAAATCATGGAAGAAACCAGGACTCCCCTGTCTTCGATCCTGTGCAAATTAAAGAACTGGGTGTAGCTAAGTGACCACAAGCATTTTTATTATAAGGATATTCCAGCAGATAGTTTATGTAAGCCATCTATTTAAATCCTGAAGTAAGGAAATTCCACACTGTGACAAAATAAGAAAGAAAGAGATCATGAAGTGCCAGCAGAATATAACTAATATCCCCATAATAAGATTAATAAGACACTGAAAACTCTAAATGCAACAAGATTAGGATTTCAGATACATGAAGATAGTAGAACATCCTCCTTTTGTCTTAAAGTCATAATAGCTCAGAATTTTTCACATATTTGATACATCAAGGTATTAGGATTCCTTAATTATTTTTTTATCAGAATGAATTATAAATTTTTGCATATTTTCACTCAGAGGCTGAAAACAAATACTGTGCTGCGTTCTTTCCAAGCATCCAACAACTCAAGAGATCTGCAATTTTCAAGTGCTTAAATGCCACAACAGACTTCAGTGATGTTTCACAGTAAAGTAATAACTTGTGATCCTTTTACTCTTAGCATAAGTTGAAATCAGATTACCCAGAAAAATCATTCAGAGTTTTGTTACCAAGTTCTGAACATAAATTTGAACCTTGCTCCTTCAGCACAAAATGCTGACGACTTGCACTCAAGCTGACAGAGCAAGTTGATCACAAATCTCTTCAATAAATGTTCTGTTTAGCTCAGCTCCTTCTTGTCATGTAAGATCTTCTAAAAAGAGATGCTGGTAACTAAGCAAACAGGCAAATCACACAAGTATCTTGCAGAGAAAGACAAAGATTAACCTTAAGATTCTAAAATTAAAAAAACATATATTCTTAGAAAAACACATCAGCAACTTAAGTGGAATGATACAGCTGGTGTATCAAATTTTCTATTTCACACTGTCACACTCAGAGGTTAAGTAGGAATTCAACACTCCAGCAAGCTGGAGTAGATGGAGCTCTCATAGAACCTGCATTACACAACCAAAATGATCCATGACGAGTTTAAGGCCAGCAGCCATGCCTGGTGCATAACCTATGCCACTCAGTTCGGAAGAATTAACAGCAAATATTAACTATGCCTTTGCAATTGTGAATCTACAGCTGTACAACATATGGCTACAACCTGTAAAAACTGCAAATCTGTGCAATGAACACATACTATAGTAAGAACAACACATTCTTTCTTATTGTTTGGCTCCTACAGACACAGACACAGTTTATTTTTGCCATAACCCCCATGTAGATTTAAGAAAAACAGTATTTCTTGAGATGCAAAGTTGTAAACTACTTTGCATACTTATTCTAACTTTGGGATGCAGATGCAAATGTATTCAGAAGCTGGTCAATGCATTTTCTTTTGGTCTCTGTGATGAACACTGGACTCCATTATGCCTCCACCATCCACAGATTTATCCACTCTATGTACACATCATCACACAAATTCAAGTGGTCACAACAAAATATTCTGTCCACTAACGAAAGATCTCTAGGTACAGTGCAGGCACCAAAGTGTTGCATGCAAGGAACAAAATTCCTAACAGTAGAAAAACTGAAATAGTAAAGAAATAAGAATGATTTAGAGAGGTTTCTTTGTAGATAATGTATGGCTCATAGTCCCTGTAATTCAGCTGCATTATAGGTTTTCATTGCTATTAGCAAAAGTTGTATAATACACCAAAGTTCTATTATATGAACAAAAAGGATATTCTTCAAACACTGCCAAATTTGATGCCAAGAGGCATCTTGACATTAATCACACAACTGCTACAAAAACCCTAAATGACAAAAAGAGATAAGGAACAAATATTTTTGCTATTAAATTTTAAAAGTGGATAACTAGGATAAACTAAAAATTATCCTGTTTCAAGCAAAACAGAAGAATCCAGATAAATTGTAAAACACGAAAAACTCTCCACGTGTTCAATAGTTAAAACTATGGACAGAAAGCATTTATTTTTAGAAAAACCACCCATTGCTTAATAAAAATTTCCCTTCCTAACTAAAAGGGAGCCAAGCTGCTCCCCAAATCATATTATGGATGTGGAACTGAAGACCTATTTTCAAAACTCAGTTGCTGTTCTCTGGCACATGCCAAAAAATTAATACTAGAACAGACTGGGTTGCAGACTACCAAAAGAAAATCTAACTGCAGAAAGAACTGTTGTCTCTACATATCTCACAGAAAAAACTAAAAAATTTAATAAATTAAGCCAAGTGACAATGAAAGCACAAGAACAAAACAGTAAAATGGGTATGAATACCTTTTCAAAAATTTA